TATGTAATTATATAGTATATCTGTATATGCGGTGGTGGTGAAATTGGTAATTTGTTTTTTTTTTCGGGAAAATTGGTAATTTTTGAATTGTGATCGTAAAAAAATGTCAGCCTTTGCTGACACCCGCACGTCTTCAATGCTCTCCGAAAAGCCCAGAATTAGGGAAAACTATTCATTTTTCTCCATTTCAAAAACCCCAAACGTACCTTTCTAGATTCCACATTCAACCATTTTCAAAGAACACAAGATTTCACCAGAAAAAAAAACCCTTAATCGTCGGAAGGCGGCGCGCTAACCACCATATCTGGCGCCGCCGAGCGGCCCGGGCTTACTGCAGGTGCGCCGTTAGAAGGAGGCGATCAGGGTGTCACGGCGTAGCCGAACAACACTTTGTCGATTCTGAGCGAGAAAAAAATCGAGCGGGAGGAGAACAATAGCTAGATGGCGTCTAGCTCTCTGGAGATCGCTGATAGCGGCGGCAACGGGGCTGCCGGGAGAAATAAGCTTCGCTTGTCCAAGGAGCAAGCGGCGGTGCTCGAGCACACATTAAGGGAGCACAAATCCTAAATCCGGCGAGTCTATTATTTCCCCTTTTTTTTCTGTCCATGGTGAGGGTATTTTTGGAAGATTTGTCAAAAACAGAGAATAACATTCATTTTTCTTCGTTTATACTTTAAATTCTTGCAATTTAGGGGATTATGGTGAAGAATTGGATAATATATAATTAGTGCTTTTCATTGTTTACAGACTTGAAAAGTGGGGGAAAATAAACTTAAATACTAATTTGTTTAATGTGCAAAAGGTCTGGATTGATACAAAGCAGGAGAAATTATAACTGAGAATGTTTAGAACTTTGGCTGGGTTATAATCAGTGTATGTTGATTTCAGTGAACGATGACATAACAGCACGAGTTTTGCTTTTCCTTTTTTCTTTTCTTGTTTCATTTAGAACTTGATGCTATTAGTTCTTCAATCTGTATTTTACTGAATATGATATATATTTTTTAACAGCTATAAGCAAACAATTTTGGGCTTTTGTGGAGACAACACGTGTCCTTTTTTGGACACAAAAGCCCTTTCTTTAGTCTTTGAATTACAGTTTTGCCATTGAGTTTATCTATCTATATATTAAAAGAATAACATTTTCTAATTTCCCGCCAGATTTTTGCCGCAAAACGTGTCATTATTTAATTCTAGCGCCAAATTATAAGAATGAACGACATTTTTAAAATAGTTGATTTATTGGACCATTAGTGCAGTTTTTCTTTATAGATAGATTATAGATACATATCATTTCCTTAATTATTGGATGGGATTTGTTTGGGATTTATTTATCTCAATATTAAACCCGTAAATCATTCCTTAATTCAGGGTAGATTTTTGCCGTTTTTAAAATCCCGATTTTCAGCTTTTTTATTTTACACGCGTTTCGTTTTTTTGGTTGGGAGGAGATAAGATTTGTTAAATAAAATAATGCAGTATTACAAAAAATATTCTAGCCCCCTATATAAAAGAGTGCATTATAAATTTGACTCTTAACAATTTTGTCACGTAACTAAAAAATACTCATCAAATTTAATTTAAACAAGGTAAAATAATATTGCCTCTTAACAATTTTGGAGATCGAAATTCTTAATAAAAAACACATCAAAAAATCAATTTTGATGAAATCCAAATTCTTAACAATCCATTCATCTGTTTTTTTTTTACGTTATTAAATAAAACACTTATTTATATCTTATCCCAAACAAATTCCGATTTTTTTCCTAATATCTGATTTTTTTTCCTTATTTAAATTTAATTTATTTATATTTAATTTAACAATTCCACTTAATGTGGATTATTTACACAACCGAATTTGTTTTTCCTTATTTAAAAATTTGATGCAAAATTATGTTTCAATCTTTCACTTAATTTGGATTCATAACAATCTTATCCGATTTTGATGTTCCTTAATTAAAAAATACGATGCAAAATTTTGTTCCCGCCAGAGGACTTAATGGAATTTTTTTAAGAATCTTATCCCAAACAAATCAGATTTTTTTCCTAATATCTGATTTTTTTTCCTTATTTAAAAAAAAAATTCTTTACATTTAATTTAACAATTCCACTTACTGTGGATTATTTAAAATTTCGATTTATATGTACTTTATTTTTTAATTTTTTAGTATAATGTATATCTAGATAAGTTCGTATAATTATTAAAAATAATTATATATATATATATATATATCGGTATTTTACGCGAATGTATAACTCTGCCATTCAATTTTCTTTCGTTAGAAAAGTTGAATCTCATACGCCAATCAGAAAAACAACTACAATATGGACCAAACAATGTGCTTGATTAGAGAGCTTAAACGTAATACGAGTCCTATGAGTTTCTCTCTTAAGCTTCGTGCTATTCGTATTTTCAAGAGATTTCTTCAATCCAAATGAGACAACCAATTTTGAAGTTGTCTTTCATGATATTGAGGTTATTGTGATGTTTTTACATGAGATTTGTTTCATTAGTTTTGTTTTATAAACATATTGTGTACTATATTTTATAACAACATAGATCTATGTTTTGTAGGGTACACGCATAACAGGTATAATTCGAATTATGCCTATATTTGCTGGGGAATTTGAGGAAGATGGTGTCTATGTCATTAGAAATTACCAGCTTGAAGATAATGTTGGAATTTATAGATCTACGCATGATGAATTCAAAGTCATAATTGATGGGGATACTTCTGTTCTTCAACTGTTTTCCAATTTCCCAACATGGCATTTCGAGTTCGAAAGTCTTGCTTCACTTCGAAATTTTGACCATGACCATGACTCGCATCTTCATGGTAAATCTACAATTTAATTTGCATTCCATCGTTTTATTTTTAATTTAATTTCTTAATGTTCATATATTAGTTAATTAAATAATGGTTTCATTATTTTCAAATTATTATAGATACTATTGGGATGGTTGTTGAGGTTCATCCCACTGATTCAAAATGGATTCACGGAAAAGAAAGGAAAACGATCGTTTTTGCTTTAATGGATTTAGAGTAAGTATCATTTACATAGTTACATATTAATGAATAGGGAATTTTCATTAAAATCTAATTATATTCATTTTTTCTTTTTTATAGTGGAATAGTAATGCGTTGCACACTATTCGATGATTATGTGAATGAGTTTGTTGCTTATGAGAATAACTTCAATTCAAATGGAGAACCATGGGTTCTCATCATTCAGTTATGCAGGTTAAGATATTATGAAGGTAATTCTACTTTTCTAAGCTACCAATGAATAATACATATAATTAATCTTATTGAATATAAATTTAAATCACAACTTATTGTTTATTGTTTTGGCAGAGGTGAGGGGCATTTGAGTAACTTCATGAATATCACTCGCCTTATTGCTTCAAATAACCAGGAAATTAGAAATTTCCGTGAAAAGTAATAAGTGTTCTGTAAAAATTGCAATTTATGCCATTTGCAATTATGTAATTTTATAATTTTGTATTTATTTATTAAATGAATGTACAGATTTTCGAATAGCAAATGGTATAAAAGGGACAAGTATGTCACCACAAACAAGATTGCAAAAATTAGCGAAATAGACGAGCTTCATGGTGGTGAAATCAATAGTGATAAAGGGGAGGTTTGGATTTTGGCCTTGGAAGCCAAAAAAAAAAAATAATGAGGATCAGAAGTGAAGCATGAAGCACCATATGAGATATATTTTATTATTACTGTTTAGTTATTTTGAGAACTAATTATTTGTTTTGAGTTTACTTTTTATATTAAATTTCCCATGGTAGAAGGTTATGTTTAAGAATTAATGTTTAGTTAATTTGAGTTTACGATTTATATTTAATTAATGTTTCTCTAACTATTATAAGTATTTATTTGTGTTTTTCAAAAAGAAAAAAACAAATGTTTTATGTTAACACGGTTATACAATATTACCGAATTGAATGAAACCCATATTAGAGAAAAAATAAGCCTAAATTATTTAATTTATAAATAACAAATTCCGATCTTTTTTAACAATCTTATAATTAACAAATTCCGATTTTTTTCTAATATATGATTTTTTTTCTTTATTTAAAAAAACCTTAATTAAATTTAATTTAACAATTCCACTTAATGTGGATTCTTTGAAAAATCCGATTTTGTTTTTCCTTATTTAAAATTTTGATGCAAAATTATGTTACACAATTTCACTTAATGTGTATTCTTAACAATGTGTATTCCTAGGGTGAATATCATTCCATCTGATACACGGGTACCATTTAAGTTCCAACGGCGACAGTTCCCACTTGTGGTTTCATATGTCATGACCATAAATAAGAGTCAAGGACAATTTTTATCGCACGTTGGTCTATTCCTGAAGAAACCTGTTTTTAGTCACGGTCAATTATATGTTGTTGTTTCACGTGTAACTAATAGAATAGGGTTGAAGATATTAGTTTGTGATAATGAGGAGCTACCTAATAACCAAACTCATAATGTCGTGTACAAGGAAGTTTTTAATAATATATGATTGTTTCGTGACGAAACAATCTTTTTTTTTTCTAATAAAATCTTCCTATGTATTATAATTCTTTCGATCCTAATACATGTCATCTTATATTATATTATCCTCCAAGATTCTCCAAAAATAACTCAGCCCGTGCATCGCACGGCTTCTACACTAGTTTATTTGTTAATTAAATTGCTTTAAAAGATTTGCTACCCGAAAATCTGCTCTGTCGTACCTACGAATGGACTTCCACGCTTGCTTGCGTGTGTTAGGTCTTCTGGGATTTGCGGTGTATTTCGGCCAAATTGCCGGTGTGATATCATAAAATCTAAACCCAAATCAAACACACAAGCCGGACCGCCCTTGCTATTTCATCTTCGAGGCCATCGTTCTTTTCATTTGCACAAGAGATTTTGGGGGAACCTAAATAAAATAGGGAAAAGGGCAGGTAGACGATATAACACAGAAGACAAGCAACAAGAGATTCATCCATGTATACAGAGGCAGCACGAATTGCACGGCTGCAACGAGGTTTCCATCAACATCGTCCGCCATTGACCCCAGCGTGGTTGTCGGTAAGTCCTCGCAACACCTTTATCTTTATATTAATTGAAGATAGCCCAATTCCTGGCGTTCTGAAGCCGAACAAGGGCTCACGCGTGCAGACACCCAAATGGATCAAGTGCATGACCGAGCAGATAGTTAGTACCTGTCTAAGAGAAATGAGCGTCTGTACGGATAGGACGTGGTGGCGGCGATTAAGCACGTGAGGAGGAGTATGGCATGAAGGATGTAATGGATTCATTTTTTGCGAAGGTTAGTTTTAGACAGATGTGTGTGGTGTTGAAGAAGCAGAAGAGTTGGCGCCAAATTAGGGACTTTTTGTCTGGATGAAGTCGCAGTTTGTTTTTTGTTTTAAATTTGTTGGGACTTAAATTGAGTGTTATTTTACCAATTCTTAATTGATATGATGTTTAGTCACGCAAAAGCTTGTTTTTTATTATTTAATCATGACTCTATTGAAATGCTTGTATTGCAAACCAAACGAGGCGGAAAAAGGAGATAATGAAAAATAGAAAAATAACAAGCACATTTTAGCTCGGGTTTAAGGAATGGGATAATAGTTTGTCTCACTTGTTTGTTTGATTGTGAGGAAGTTTTTGGATACTCGAGTGTTTTTGTTCATTGTGAGGGTTGAAAGGCTTGGTAGAATGTGATTCATAAATTATAACATCATAACAATGAACCAAAATACCTTGTGTTTAGTCTTTTCCTTCTCAAACTTGGTTGTGTTATTCACTAAATAGGTGAATTTTTTATTTTGATCCAATCTAGATAAAGTTTTGATGGTCTGGCTTAGCAATGTGTAGCAGACAGTGGTCCTCCTGAAGCTACTCCCATCAAGAACATCCACGAGAACTCTACCAGATCCTTCACCCACGGCTCACGAGGTACAACAAGAAGCTGACGGTCCTCTCACGCGAGATCCAGAACGCCTTGACGCTGGTGTTGCCTGGGGAGTTGGCCAAGCTGGCCAAGCCAACTGAAACTGGTGGGTTTTTATATAACACTAAAGATGATATTATGAGGTGAGAGTTTTGTAGAATCTGTTTGTTGTTTTTGGGCAACGATGCAAGTAAAGGGATCAAATGGATTCCAAATTTTCTCTATTTCTATGATATATCAGCTTTAAGGCACTTGGCTTAAGAAGTTATATAAATTTGATCACCCTTTATACTCTTCTTCATAAGGTGCCTATTTTAGATAATCACTACATCATAGTATCATGTTCCCACATAAATGATGCTCCACGTACTTCCACTTGATTCATAGCTTCAATTTTGAATTTTAAGAACACACATGTCTGAAAGTAGTTACCTTCTTCTAAAGTGTCACAAACATCTTTTGTTATCACATTCAGTGCCTTGAAGTGAAATATCTAGATTATAAGATTTCCCGCATCAATTGTTTGAATATGTTGGGCCAAAAGTCTCAGGATGTTCAAGAAAATATCTACTCGAGGGAGGAGCTCTACTGTTGGGGTTTGCAATACAGCTGGAGGAAGATCACAAGTAAGCATTGACGGGAGGCTCACAGGTTCAGGACGTGACAAATATAACTCAGATGCTCTCCTTTAATATTGTTTTGTATATTTTATTTACTCTCTCTCTCTCTCCTCTGTTTTTCTATTTTTCATGGTGCTTTGTAAATTGGTAAACCCAGAATTCAGCTTCTCGATAAAGGGATTGTATCGAGCGGCCATTTTTGTCCTTTTTTTTTCAAGATGATCCATTGTTTTTGCTTTTTTCTGTTCTTGATGGTTGTTTACCTTCATTCTAGCTTAGAAGCTTCTCATGATCTTTGGTTATGCTGGAATGAAAAAAGATACTTGGACTTTTTATGTCTCTTGTATTATTAGTTGATCTTTTGTAGTTGGTTAGATTTGCTTGATAGCAATGGTGATTGTTTCTTTCCTATTTTAACATATCACTTTCACGATTGTTACAGGTTATTTGTTAAAGCTCTGGGCATTAATTTTAACTGTAGTTTTACATGAATATTTTTTAACTAGTACAACACCCGTGTATTACACGGGTGCTTGCTAATTTTTTTCTTAAAATTTAAAATTAATGAGAAAAAGTAGTTTGAAAATTTAAATACCTTTTATAAATATATATATATATATATATATTATTATATATTTTATGATACTTTTTATTTGTGCGACTTACTTGTGTTATATTATACTAATTTTTTTAATTTACACTATATAACTACATTAAATATAAATATATCAATTGAGAAATAATTTTATTT